GGAGTCATCGACCACTGATGAACAGTTGGATACGAGCGCCGTGAGAAGAAATGGACGTTAAACCGACGAACGTGTGACAAAGCTGTGATGCTGCGTAAATAAAATGATTGTAAATAAAAACAGAAAGTGATGATTTTAAGAGGATTCAAGTCTTTATTTAACTGTAAACAGAACAACACAACATCATCTTTGACCAGAGTGTACTCACACGTTTAAATAAAGTTTTTACAGAAGCTCAGTGCAGCTCATCATATCCAGGATAAATAAATAAAATAAAACAAAGCAGGTAAACTGTGTAATCAGATGTGTGTGTCTGCCCTTCAGCTTCTCTGAAGTTTTACTGCTGATGGTAAAATGTTCACAGAGGTTCAGCTTTTCTGCGTGATGCGTCGTTATCCATCAGAACTACAGAGCTGGCCTTCCAGTCTCTGAGAAAAACCTCATCTAATCAAGTAATGCATGAACTAGTAATTGATGGAAAAGTTCCAGTTTCTTCTTCACTGCCATGAATAAAAACCTGTTCTTTAAAAGAATCCCCTGCATCTTTCTGCATGATCATCAGTGCTGATCGTTCTCGATGTTCCTCTGGGATCGCTGATCAGTTTCAGACCTGAAGCAAAGTGAGCCGCAGATTTCCCATCCATGAACCTGAACCCTGAATGCAGTTATAAACACACAATGGCTCTGAAGGACAAGTTTCGCCTGAAGTCTGACATTTCATATTAAACAAGGAGCCGTTCTGACAGGTTAAAAACATTTAAAAGAATAAACGTAGAAAAGAAAAACAATGAATTAATAAAAAAGATTATAATCTGTGTCACAGATGAGGCTCACTCCAGATTAATGTAAAGAAACAAACTCTCAGATTTATTTTCACCTCATTTAGAAGGTGATTTACACCTGCTGAGTGAAGCACACGAGGAGGAAGAAGGAAATAAGGAAGGAAATAAGTCCAGAATGAGATTCCAACACTTTACCATCGGAGATGTTTGTCAATAAAGAAATACACAAGGGGCCTGTTTCAATATGCGTACTTGTGCGTACTTGCATTCTCGTGTACTCGTGATACGTCATCAGTCCAGAACCCAAACGCGGCAATGGTGGAGGAGCGCGGCTAAAACTTTTAAATATTACTCTTTCTGGGTCGCAAAATAAAATTTTAAGTTATTTTGAAGTGAGAATGTAGCTGTGTAAGCTTCAAATATCTGCTCGATTTATCAACATATCACATATTTCCAAACGTGCTCCGACGTTTTCCGAGACATCGGTTACCCACCAGCTCCATATACATTTTGGGGCATGTATTCTGTAATCTGTAATGGAATACATTTTAAAAGTAACCTTCCCAACACTGCCCACCAGCTCCATAGCAGACCGAGAGGTCGGCACATCGTTTTCAACCCTCCCATGGTCTTTCACTACTCAGGTTAAACATGATATATAAGTCTCTTAGGTAACTT